AAGAAATGAGAGGGGGAAAAAGACATAAAACTGGCAGGACAGTATAAAACAAAATTATAAGATACTAGGTTTAAAGCCAAATGTATCAGCAACTACCTTAAGTGTAAATGAACTAAATACTCCCAATAAAAGACAAAATTTTAGAATGTGTGTATAGATGCATATATATAAACCATATGCTGCTTTCAAGGGACACATTAACTAACACCTATTTTGAGAAAAAAATTGCACAATAAATAAAAATGGAAGTGCAAAAGGAGGAGAAGATAGAGAAGATGAAGGAAGACTTACTTCATTGGGTGAGGTTGACATTTGACAGTGATAATAAATCATATCCCTCTATCTTTAAGTATAGAAACAAAAGAGAAATATATCCAGAAGTCAGAAAGATGAGGATTAAAACATGAGCTTTACAACTAATAGAGCTGAATCTGAAAATAGAGCTTGTCCTGCAGTCACATTTGGGCTTCTTATGTATCAACCTTTCCTACAAGTCTAGACCTTGGGATCCCACCTGACAGAAAGTCCACACAGCTGACACCCGGATCCATCCAGGTGTAAGAACTGCTTCACATCACGAGAGCCCTTAAAGTTGGGCCTCAGAGAGTAATGCCTCCAGATGTCTGCCTAGAGATGGTTCCCAGCCTCAAGTGCACAGGAGAATCACCTGAGAAGCTTTAAAATGGACACACACCAGACTACTGAAAAAGAATCTGCAAAGGCAGAATCCAGATATCTAATTTCTTTTTTAAGTGATTCCACTGTGTCTCTAAGGTTGAAAACACTGAGTAAGGTTGGCATGAGCCCCATCTGAAGTGTGTCTACTATAAGAAAGATGGCACAAACACAGAGGAGAAGATATACATTTCCAAATAGCATGAACTCAAAAGAAGAAACAAAGGGGCTGATCCATAAATACATAGTTTCTGTTCTCAATCTCTCTAAGTAGATAAAGCCTTACATTTCCTTTGGGGAGAAAGAGATGGAGGATTTGGAAAGGGCAGACTTATCTTCCCAGTCCTGTGCTCTTCTCAGGAATGGAATGGAAGTTTCCTTGTACAACTGTGAGGATCGGGCAACAGGTTTGCCCTTGTGGTTGAGGTGGCTTTCAAGCTGGGCCTTCATAGATAGGTAAGTTTGCACATATAAAAATTGGAGGAATAGGAAAAAAAATTGGAGGAAGAGGGATAAAAGAACATTTGGAAGGAAGGATTTTTCTCTCTCAATGTTTTTAATGATCTTCTGGGCAATGAAAGAATGATTTTTTTTTTCAGTAGACTCCACACCCAGCGGGGGGCCCAACGCAGGGTTTGAACTCAAGACCCTGAGATCAAGACCTGAGCTGAATCAAGAGTTGGATTCTTTTTTTTTTTTTAAAGATTTTTTTTTTTTTTATTTGAGAGAGAGAGAATGAGAGAGAGCAAGCACATGAGAGGGGGGAGGGTCAGAGGGAGAAGCAGGCTCCCTGCCGAGCAGGGAGCCCGATGCGGGACTCGATCCAGGGACTCCAGGATCATGACCTGAGCCGAAGGCAGTCGCTTAACCAACTGAGCCACCCAGGTGCCCCAAGAGTTGGATTCTTAACCGACTGAGCCACCCAGGTATCCCTGAAAGAATGATTTTTAACAGTACTAAGTATAAAGTAAACAAAATACCTAAACTATAAGTTGGCTGAAATATGTGTTTCTGAGCTCAGGACCTTCAGCTACTTATCCTTTAGATCTCAGGCTCTCAGAGACCTTTCTCTGATCTCATAGACAAATTTAAGTTCTCCTGCCATATGTGCTCATGAGATCTAGAACAATTTATAATCCTATATTAGTGCTTATCTGGTTAATGTCTGGTTAATGAATTCAATGAGGACAGAAGCTGGATCTGTTTATTCTTCATTAGATTCCAGGCTCCAGTCATAGTTGTTACACGTCTGTTGAATAAGAGTCCCAGGCCATTCATTGGCTGCAAAAAGCTGCTTAAAGTTGCAGATAAGGAAATAATTTTTTAAAAAAGAGGTGACTGATGCCTTTGTTAGAATTGGGAGTACTGGACAGCTTGAAAATGAAAATCAAATAAGGCTGCCAATCTTCACACAGGGGTCAGTTGCCTGTTCTCACCCAACACAATCAACCACAGCATAAGCACACCCACCACCAGTCAAGAGACCTGTATGAAACGGTATGATTCTGAGACTAAGACCTCAAAAGACTCTCTTCAGTCAATTGCACTCAGCCAGAGCACAGGCTTGGCCAACTAAGGGGAAAACATAAATAAAGACGACCAGATGTTTCTTCCTGCTCTAAGGACTCAGCATAATAACTAATACCTATTCCAAATAATAATTTTTCTGGATAAAAGTCTGGGGCCTGACAGTAACCATCAGGTTAACTAGCCTACCTTGAATTCAAAGGAGGAAAAAGTGGTTAACTTGATGTCAAATAAACACAAGGCACCAAACTTCACAGCAGATGTTACCCTCAGACAACTGCTCGATTCAGCTGCATGGGGTTGGCTCCTCTGAAAATTTGTCTCTGCCTGGGCCACCAAAATGATAAGCTGAATCCTGGGAAAGAATCATGCTCCTGAATCTTGGAGAATATTTATGAAAGCAAATAAGGTGAACAAATAAAATCAATGATAGAGAAACAATACGTGGCTCTCTTCCTTGTTGCCCTGGGCAAATCTGTTGCTTAAACAATAACAACAGGATCTAATCAGTAAACCTCTCAGCTGCCAAAATTATACAAGCAACTTGCCTATTTAAAATGTCACATTTCCCATCTGATACAAATATCTGCCGTCTGCTCACATTCCTACAGTGTAATACAAATTAGGCCCAAACTAAAATTCACCTTGGCACAAACTAATATTCTTTTCCTTTCAAATGACCCAGATCTTACATTATAAAAATTGTGAAGCTCTGGTGGTCTTTTTAGAAACTGGAATAGATCATTGAAGCCTGGGGTGCTTTCCAGCCTGGTCTGTCCACATTATTTTACACGTGGGATGGGCTTGACTAGCTCATTCAAGTCTACGGAGACCTGGTTCAGCCTCAGCAACCTCTTACACACAAATGCAACACTGCCTGTTATCTGATTGCTGGAAAAATCATAGTACTGAGATGTTTTTATGCTATTTTTTTAACTAAAGAAATAGACCTGGTAATAAAAAAAAAAAAACACAACTTCACAACTTCAAAAAATATTTAAAGAAAACAATGTGAAAATAATGGAAAAGGTAAAAAGGTTAATTTGAAAGACTGATATAACCATAATCAGATTTGTTACCTATGTAGGTTTATGCCAGTATACAGACTTTCTCGATAATGGCAGGAAGCAAGAAATGTAAGCCATGAAAAAAATGTCCAACCCGTACACTTTTGTGCCTTCCTATAAAATTAAATTTATATTGCAAATGTACTACATGCAGACCAGAACCATTTGTCTCCAAGTGTCTTCCACAGACAACTATATCAGAATCCCCTGGGATAATGGTGAAAAATGCTGTCACCAAAGACCTTCTGAATTAGACTCTCTCTTAGGAATAGGATCCAGGAAGGGTGCCTGGGTGGCTAAGTCGTTAGGCGTCTGCCTTTGGCTCAGGTCCTGGGATCGAGCCCCGCATCGGGATCCCTGCTCAGCAGGAAGCCTGCTTCTCCCTCTCCCACTCCCCCTGCTTGTGTTCCCTCTCTTGCTGTGTCTCTCTCTGTCAAATAAATAAATAAAATCTTTAAAAAAAAAAAAGAATAGGACCCAGGAATCTGCATTTTCAATATCTCCTCTTCCCCCAAAATATTGTGCTTGCTCTACAAACCCGGCTTCCTGGTAAGTCCTTAGCTATCCCTTCTGATCCAATCGGACCCCCTAAGCTGCTCACATAGAGAAATTCAGAGCTGCCTGGGATTTTAAAGTTAAGAGAACCTCTCCCTGGAGCATGTGATTCCTTTAGATCTCTGATCTCACTTGAACCAAGTAAGTAAGGAAAAAATCCACGCAAAGTCTACTGGTTAATAGAGTGCATGAGAAACAATCCCTTCAATGGAGTACTGTGATGTTTGGAAGCCAAATAAAAATGTTAATTGCTTCCAATTACCAAAGCCTCTCAAATTCTGGCAACCAGAGAAGCCAGAGCCACCCCCAAATGGAGACAACATCCAGCACTGTCACTTTTTGTGATTATAAACAAATCACCTTCTCCAACAATCAGACCATCACCCATGTTTATGAATACCTAAAGACTGTAAACAACAATTCAACACCAGCAACCAAACCCGCAAGGGAAACAGCCCCTTCCCTAACATTCAGTATCAACATTGAGATATTCTTGCATATTAAATTAGGAATGACAATTTTCAAAACAAACAACTCTAATTTTGAACATATTTCAAAGGTCTTTTGAGCAACAAAGTATACCTATGTTTACACAGTAATGTTAAGCAGGAAAGGAAAAAGTCCTCATCTGCATAAACATCACTGGACTAGCATTAAGCCTTTCCCAGCCCAGCTCAATTGGAAAAATGCCCCAAAGAAACATTTACAATATGTCTTTAGTCTTAAGTGTTTGGCTTACATATTTAATAAATATTTATGAAAGTAAAAATTTTTATTTTATTTTTAATTTTATGATGAATTCTGCTATTTTTATGATCAATTGATATGTTATGTATCACTCAAAAATAACTCAATTTACATGGTGCTTCTAAGAAATAAGGGTTTGACTCAAATGGCTCTACTTGAGAAAATTATCCAAAATTCAACCATATGGGGATGTGGGGGAGGGCATCTTTATTTCATTTTAGACCAAAGACTTTACAACCTTCAACAGGCTTTGACCTTTCGGCTGAAATCTTTGTTACTGAAAAAGAAATTGCAGGACTGTAGTTTTCCCTAAGTCAGGGAAGGTGCAAGTAGGGCTTGCCAAAAAAAAAAAAAAAAAAGCTGTCTAAAGTCTTATTTGTAGTTTCTGGAAAGAGGTCAAGCAGTATAGAGAGGAAATAGAAAGCATACCCTTGCTCTTTTGGGGCTGAGTCTCTTCATCCACATCCAAATCTTCTAAATCTAGGAAATTGTCCACCTAGAAAAGGATTAACATCATTGTCATGTATATTAGACCTAATGAAAAACTGCAATCAAGAATCAATGAATCCACTTCCACAGCATTCAAAGTGAGCAACTGAATCCACTTTTCTAATTAACTTTTGAGTCCCAGCTAAAGGTCTTTGTGTTCACTGTGCTTTCCCAGAGACATCTGAAAGAAATGGTAAATTTGGAAGTTGGCCTGGATTTTGTAGGCACCATAGTAAGATCTCTATACTGAAAAGGGAAAGAACAGTCTGAGGAGTTTTTGAAAAGGGACTTTGTTCCCAGATTCTCTCCCAGGATATATACCACCACCGTGACAGTCCAAAACAGTGTCTCTGTTATTTGTTTTTTTTTATTGCTTTTGCTTCTCAAGCAAATGATGGTGGTAGGTCTGGCTATTACCATAATGGGCTTTTCACTCTAAAGAGTCAGAGAGAAGAAACTAAAGAAAGCAAAAGAGAAAGGTTCATTTGAAACAAAATCATCCTGCCCCAGGTAAATCACAAGAGAGGTGAGCAGGGCCAAAAATCAAGTGTTCTCTCTTCTGAGCAAATAAAACCGAAAATTACTTCAAAGGTAAAAAGCAGAGCAAATGACCTTTACAGACACAATAGCAGCATTTCAATGAAAGACTATTCCACATAGAATACTGCTTTCCACAGCAAGCTGACAATGAGACATTTCAGATTAACAAAATGGTAACATTTCAGACACGAACTAATTCATCTCAGGTGAATATCAAAGAGTGTAAATAAGAAAATGATTTCACCACTGGCACAAAGGAGACCTCGTAGAGTAAAGGCATAATGTCGAAATGCCTTTTACGTTCATGACCTAAAACATGTTCACGACAAAATAACATAAAATTACAAATTTAGATCTCATAAGTGGAATTCAAAACATAGCCTGGGTCTTTCTTCCCCTAGCTCTACGTCCCAGACCATGGCTTTTATGTGTGAATTAAAAATGGTAGCTTCCATTGTTTGTTAAGTACATGACTGCAGTTCTTCCCTGGCATCCAAGTGACAGCAAAAATTTATCTTCCCCACGATGGTTTCAGTACTAAAGCTGTTATATTGTCATTTCTCTTAATGGAGATTGTTCAGGGGGACTAGAGTCATGTTTCTCTACTGAAGCACCCATTCATTTGCTAAGCTTTGAGGAAGAAAGA